GGCAAAAAACAAAAACCAATTTTCTTTACCAATCGTAAAGGAAAAAAAACTGTTACTTTTTTTTTTACTTTTTCTGCGGTTTGTTTGAGCTGATAATTTGGCAAAGTGCCAAAATTTATTGTCAAATTTATACGCACACAAAAAAGTCACTTTATTTATTTATTTTTTGTATTTTTAACAAATAAAATTTACATAGTGCTTTTCATTAAATATTTTTTATTAAAGCAAAAAAAATTAGCACTCAAGCCTCTTGAGCTTAAACTCAAGTTTGGGGTAACTAAAGAAATCTGGTAAAAATGCAGGCAAATACAATGAATGGACAGGTAGAAAGGTGGACATTTATGCAAAGTGGAATTTCAACTGATTTTACCTCAAATAAAAAAAATGTGTAGAGAAAAAAGAAAAGATTTGTGTTATTTCTTGATATTTTTAGTCTTCTCTTTTTTGTTCTTACTATTTTAAAAAATATTATTTTTGTGTTAAACTTCTAACTTTACAATTACTATACAGTGTTGAAGTTGTTGAAAAAAAAGAGAAGGTCTATGTAATCTGTTTGAAATGTTTTTTTTAAATGGCTATGAAAATTACCTGCATTTTAATTTAATTTATGCAATTTTAATCAATAAACTATCAATAAAAGTTTTATTCTTTTACTGTTAACCAACCTTCACTTAACCATTATAAAATCTTCCTGTTCTTCTTTATTTCATTCTTATCAAATACGCAGTTACTTCCGTGATAACTTTCTTTACTGAAGTTAAATAAAAAAAATATACATTTTATTTTTTTGATTATTTTTCAGTATTTAGGCAATAGTAAATTATGATGCTTGAAAAAAGTATAAATATTTATTTCAAAGGTCAACGTTGTCGTTATTGTCAGTTATCAGTGGTGGTAGTATGCAGCTTTTTGGCATTCCATTTCGCTGTCGGCTGCTTTTGTAGTTTCAAAACTTTTTTTTCTGTTGTTTTTGTTGCTAAAAATAAGCATTTTTTATTTAAATAAAAATTTCCAATAAAAAAAAATTATCAGATATGTTTTGCTGCATTTAGAACAAGCATGAAACAACTGATCAATTAACGACGAAATAGACTGTTAGGAACAGTTTTTCAAATTTACCATACTAATTCCAGTAACCAAATCTGTACATCTGTATCTTACTGTTTTACTCCTCGTTGTTTTTTTCTTCTTTATAGAGCGAGGAGAGAGGAGAAAAATCAATTGAAATATAGAAATTTTTAGATCAATCACCGTGTCCAAGACACTTGAATATGATAAACAAATCACCATTATAACAGTGAATAAATACCGTCAATCAAAAACGTTACTTCATTTAGGGTAAATAAGGGTCTGACAACAAATTTTGAGAGATATGTAACGCCCATATGCAAGGAAAAATTTTGCTGTTTGACTAAAGTTATAAGCTAACCGTTTGTACGCTATATTATGTTTCGTGAAGTTTTATGAGTGACAATCATTTACCACTTATATGACAATATTTTAAGCACATAGCTGCATTTGTCTTTATTTTCAGGATGTCACGATCCGTTGGCGTTCACGTTTTTCCAACCCAAATATCAGAACGAATACGTTCAAGTCCGAAACTGATACATTATGAAATTCCAACAGAGGAACAACAACTGCCAAATCGTTCTTCAGTACCCCGTACCGGTTTGTGCGCTTTTTGTTTGTCGCAAAAGCATTTGCAAATAAACCTCTCAGCTTCACACCACATTCCTTTGTTTTGTACAGTCGTCTATAAACATTTTATGGTACAATTATTAGTTATCTCTAAAAAAAGTCAGATTGTTTTGTCTTTTTTTTTTTTTTTTTTTTTTTTTTTTT